AAAAAAAAAAAAAAAAAACAAAAAACAAAACAAAACAAAAAACACTAATACCAGATTTTCATAATGAAAACTCTGTGGACTTTTAAACTTAAAAGTTCCTATATTTTACTGACTTTCATCTCTTTAAGACCACCTTTAAATACCTTTAAAACAAATTATCAAATGAATTTTTTTACTGTAATATACCTATACTTTTAATTTTAAAGAAAATTAAATTTTAATTTTAAAGAAAAAATAACCCTCAGTGAGGTGGAATATGTCATAAAGTCCATAGCTATTCCAAATACTGGTCCACAAAGACGATCAAGAATTACGTCAATTGATTTCAGTTACTCCCGCCCGCTAAGGAAGGCTGTTATCTGAAACAAAACTGATTTCACCTAAATTTTAAAATTTACAAATATAATTTGGTTTCTTATTCTGTTGCTCAAGGAAAAACCAATTATCTGAATTTCAGTGACTCTTTTATGATATCTGAAACTATCTCAACTGTTCTGCATCTTTTTATCTATATATCCAAACTCTCGTTATGTGAACTCATTTTTCCAATGAAATCTAGAAAACATGATGGATGATATTCACAGAGAAATGACTCTGACTTTTTATGAATATTGTGCTTATAAAATGATTTATATTTGCTAACCAAAAAAATTCCAGGAATACAGAACGGAAATAAGCAGTAAATCACCCCAAATCTCACCACATAGAAACAATGCTGGAATTAAGTGAATATCATTCCCAGAAATTATTTTATTTTTACATATGGATGGACAGATGTACAGGCAAAAATAAAGCAAAAGAATCACATACAGTATGTTTTAAATAAAGAATACTTAGTTTATTTTTATATAGATATGAGAAAAAAATTAAATGAAATAAAGCTTAAAATGGAAGGAATTGCTGTACTCCAGATACATGCACTTTACCAAAAGAAATTACTTCCAAAAAATTCTTGGTAAAGGATAAGGAAAAAAATTATTAAAAGCATTAAGAAAGTGGAATTTTATTTAACTTAACATTTCCATTTTAGAAGTATCAAATCACTCCAGCCACATTTTTCAAATGCATACCTTTAAATAGTCTCCCAATATCCACCGAAACTCTAGGTGGGTAGCTAATACTATTTTTATTTTGTCAAGATTTACTATTGACATGCTGTTATGAAACCATAATTCACCTAGGTGTCTCATATGGACTTTCTACTTAAATGGGTTAATGGCTTACAATATATAGTCCTTTCACAATGGCTTCCATTCTTTTGGCTAGATTCTATCACCTACAAATTCTTTAAGAAATTTTAAAAGTTCAGTGCTTTCATATCTAACAATGTCTGCCTGTTGCTTTTATTCTTAAACATGTCTGGCATAATATTCTTAGATCTCAGCTTCTTTTTCTCAGAACTTTGTAGCTGTTGCTTCTATCTTCCGCCACTGAAGAAGTTTGAGGTGAGGCTCTTTTCTCCCCCATTAAGGATTTGTTTTGCTTCCTGAATTCCTGGGTACTTATCCCTGAACTTGAATAACTTAACCAGGATCTGTCTTGATATTGATCATTCTGTGTAAATTTTTCCTGGAGAAATATATCCTATCAATCTATAGAGTTCTTCCTTCATGTTACAAGGAAGAAAAGGGTTCTTTTTAGTATGGATATTATTTTCTTTCCTTTATCAGGTTCTGTACCTCAGAAACACATTCTCATGGTATGTTGCATGATTTTAATTCATCCTCCATATTTGTCAACTTCTTTCTAATTGCTTTAATCTTTGTCCTTTTCTTCTGCATTCACTGTGATTATCTCAAGACTTTCTTCCATGACAAAGGTCTGACTTTTACCAACACCTATTTTATCCCTTGTTTCTTCTTATTTTACATACTGAATTTATAATGATGGGCTTGGGGGCGCTGGAATGTCCAATCTTTCATTTTATCTAATTTGTCTTATTTTGTTTTTGAATGCTTTATTATTAATTTTAAGCTCTTCTATAGTGCATAGCATTCTTGGAGCATATTCTTTTGTTTTTTATTTTCTTCCATGTAGGGGGGTCTTTGTTTCTGCCATACTGTACTGCTTTCTGTAATTTTCTTTTCCAGGAATATATTTGTCCTGTTCATGGTATCCTTACCCTCTTGCTCAGGTACACAATTGGGCAGCCCCACCAAGACTTGCTCTCTGGTGTGGAATAGTGTGCGTGGGTTTTCCGTATGCATCCCCACTTTGTTTACAGATGGAGAACTGCGTATGGCTTTCTATATACTTTTCTACAGCCTGAGGAAACAGGGAAATGGGGCAGAGTAGGGGAAAACTTGGT